TTTGAAAAGAGGCAACTGGAATGCGGAAGCTTGAGTAGAGCTGCATGCCACCGAACAATCAACCTTTTCACCCTGTAATTCAAAGCGTGCAGAGCACGCTGGGCCACAAACTGAGAATTTGCGGTTCGGCAGGTGGCCTTCGTGGCCAAGCTAGGCTGGAATTCTTGGAGTCGGCTTTCATAAGAAATTCCCGTCATCAAGGGGTTAAAAAACTGAGTACACTCGGACAATTTCCCCCAATGAAAATTGTTATTGTTTTCAGACAATCTGTCCATAGAAATTAGTAGAGGACGGTTCCATGCTTTAGATATAAATTTGGGGGATATTCAGTGTACCACCCTTTGAATCTCAAACCACATGTAAATATTTGCTGCAAGTATATGTATGTTTTGCTTCAAGTTCATCAACTGTACAGTGGATTACTTGGATTCCTCATTCACAGCATCTCGGTGTACCCATCTGGGAGAGAATTCCTGCTTGTTTTCGTAGCATATAGCCAAAGAGCATCTGCTGTAAAAATTTTAAAATAACATTTCACAGCAGTCTAACGAAAAAAAAATTTCACCTTCAGTTGAAGAAATTAAAATGACTTATCGGTATCAAAATGTTCAGATCAGTTTACACAAATACATTACAGTCAAACCTCGTTAATAGGTCCTTCAGACTTGGCAAACTACATGTACCTTGTTATAACAGAAATCTTGTATTATCAGGAATGAAAATAATGAAAAAAGAAAGAATTAGGACCTACAATTTTTCTTGTTATAAGCAGAGTCTTGTATTAACAGTGCTCTCATTAATGAAGTTCGACTGTATGTGTCAGGACAATTTACACAATGTCAGTACAAGTAAAGAATAAAGGACAAATGCATTTATACTTTATTAATTTCCTTATTCAGTGTTGTAACAGTGCAGTTTTGTGGTGAATTTACCAAAATCTGATCCAAATTACCTGCTATAAAAAATTTTTGTTATCGAAATGGCTCACTCACATCTGCCTTGATGTGTAGTGTATAAATGTAAATCACGTATGATACCACATCCTGAGTTTTGCAACTTGAATTAGACACTGGTTGGAAACATTATTTGTTACTATGAAATCATGTCAAAAATTACTGTACAAATATGGCATTAAAAGCCAGAAAAAGGACAGTCTGTACTCAGACACAGTGTGGACCTGACCACCTCCACTACTTTTCCACTTAACACCTTGTTTAACATAGATTGTATTGATGTATTGGTAATAGGTTGGTTTGTAACCATGCCCCAAGTCTGAAGGGATCAGTCTACTTGGAAGCATATCAGTAAGCAGCTTAATATAACACACACACACACCAATGACACAGTACCCCCACTTTACGCAGTAAAACACATACCTGAAAAGCAAGTTTTGAGACGCTTCTGCATTCCAAAATGTGTTTTTCTCAAAAATGGCAGAATTATTCTGGGTACCAAACATTCACAGCTTGACTGCTGCTATTTTCAAATTTGGCTCTACAATTTGTGTTTCTGTGAGTGATGTATACAACTCAAACCTTTGAGAGATAAATACAAACTGTACAACCCATTGGGAGCAATGAATTTGCACATGAAAAAGGTTGGTTTTAGAAAAGACTTGCACTTTAAGATCAAATGTGTACCTGCACAAGAAAAATGCAAGCATATGCAAATTTGGAGGATATAGAAATTCATGCAGTTTATTTATGTATACTTAATATCTTTAATACTTCTAGATACTAAAATGTAGCCACCTGGGTATTTCGTACATTGACTGTATAACTCAACAAGTCTGGTATCCCAAAGTAAGTGTAATTGATGATTTTGTTACGTTTTCCCAACGTAGAAGGCTGATCAGCTGAAGTATTTAGTATCGCAAAAAGCTTGCTGGTGTGTGCTGCATAATGAAACTTTCATGGACATAGTGATGGACATGGGCGGAAGGGACAGGGGGACACGTCCCCCATGAATTTGGTACAAGGGGACACAAAGTTGAATGTCCCCTCCATGGTTTAAGCAAAACAAAATACTAAAGGAATTGATGGATCAAGGATTTTCCCTTTTTGAGTTTTTACAAATGGAGTAAGATAATGAAATAAACATGGTGTGCACAAAAAAGTTTCAATTGATGCCCCCCTCACAGTCAAGGAGAGATTTCTGCCCATGGTGATGGAGATCAGAGAAAAAAATTAACATCAAATTTTTACGTAAAATGCATGTGTCAGTCTTCCTTGGGCAAGTTTTACTGACTAGAAAAAACAAATTACTTGTAAACCAAATAAATGAAAATGGATGAACACCAAGGCCTTAGTCAAGATAATGTGTACAGTATGTGTATTGGAACCTGGTGATGCCATGCACTATAATATAAATTTCCTTGAGTGTGCACATAAATGGTAGAAGTATGGTAACATCCCCTAATGTGGTGCACTTTGACTCATTTGAATTTCCTCAGTATTGCCGAACCTCTTTGTTGAAAAACCTTAATTCCACTTGGTTAAATCCTGGTATTAATATGTCATGTCATGATTCAGGCTTTTAACCTTTGTGAACAATGCCACAGTCCAGAAATTTAGTGTGAAATTAAAAAACTGTCATGTCCAGAAATTGAGTACGAATTCAGCCGAGTGTCCCCTAATGCTGTGTAATTGAATCTCAGAAAGCTAACAAGAGGTTGTTTTAAGTTAATAAATTCTAATCTATTATTATAACTTCCACAAATCTAACTACAAGTGTGTTGGAAAATTATTTTTATATTTCTGGGTGGATTTTAAAAGCATTCATTTTGCAATTAAGAAAAAAAAAGGAAAATCAGGCCAAACTAAAATTTCCTCTGGACTTAAAGAAGGTAAGTAAACTTGAGACATATGAATCTGAATATTGGGAGGTTGATTGAAATTTCTTCTCGAGAAATCTGAGGTAAATCTTGCTCCAATAAGACACCGGAGGCAAAATTCAAAGTGTGCCAAGTTAGGGTATAACAATAATATAATCCTGGAATTAATGCCCAGCCATCCAAGATGTGGGTGTGTCAACAAGCAGTAACTTACTTTCAATCTTAAATGTCCAGGCTCCAGAGCAGTCTCTCAAGAAGGTTAGTTCAAATTATTTCAACTACTATTCAATGAAAGGCAAAATTTAATTTAAAAAAATCCCAGCACTCGGCCCATCAGAGACAAGTTTTTAATGAAGCAGCATGGAAGAGCAATTCTAGAAATTCTTAAACCTCTTCTTGAAGCTATGTTGGATAACTAGTTGGCGATCGCGTATGATGGGTGCAGGAAGGTCAACTGCTTTGTCTGCATCAGGTACAGACCTAAACCAGACAAAGCCATACCTGTGGTAACAACAAAAAAACCTGGATTCATAATAAAATGGCCCACAAAGAAACCACCAAGGACAGGACAAATTTGCAGTGCATTAACCACTTGCTGCCAGGTGGATTTTTCTTGAGCAAGACAAGATGCCGCGTCATTTTCAAGATTTTCCGTTTCAAAATTCTTCAAAAATTCATCATTACAATTAATGGCCGTTTACAACAAATGAAGGATTCTTTGGGCACTACCCAAAAGCTGACAGGTAAAATTCATTGATTCCTGAATATTTCAGCCAGGCCTGCAGCCTTGGAAAAAGAGCCCAGATTGTGCAGTGTTACGTGAGATTCTTTTGTTCCTGAAACCGGCACAGTGCACTGCTGATGTCTTCAATAGGGGCCAGATTAGCGTGCAGCAGTGCTGTGTGGCTCATTGCTACGGTGGTGGAGAGCTTTTGTCCCTGGTAGTAATCCCCTCGCTCTAAATTCCTCAAACCCAGGTATACTGTTTCAAAACCAGGCTGGATTATCTCCACTATTGACAGCGAAAAAATGGCAGTGATGCCCAGCAGCTCAGCCTTTTGTGCTGAGCACAGTCTTTTGTTATAAGGCACAACTCTTTGTCCCAGTTCCGGGCTCCCCCGCTCTGCATATAAAGCTTATGTACCCGAAAACGGGTTGCCCGGCAGGTAGTCGTTAAAGGGAAAAAAGTGTGAACATGGTACATGTATATGTCAGCAATGGGATCACTAATTGAGATCCAGATCCATGTGAAAAAAATATGGCCCATTGTATCAGAAAATCATGTCATACATGTACATGCACTTTGTGGGGGCACTTCTCATTGCAATGGCCAATGAATGATGCAGTCTTGCCCTCTGATACATTTTAAGTATGAACATTTTATGCCATCTGCATACATAAAACTGTTTAATCATTTCATGAGGTAGCTGATAGAAATTCTATTCACGGAGTACATGTACTTTACTGCAACGGAATAGAACATTTCGTCTGTCACCCAATGAAGCATTCATTTGTTTTATCCAGCACTTGAATTAACATTTGTATACAAGATGCTGTTTTTTTTCTCAGTCCTACATATGAAGCGAGATATGGGACGGAGAGCACCCCCCACCTTTGTTGTGGTCATCGTTTGATCGAAATCTCAGGAATTCTTTACAGACATCTGGGGGGAACAATAGTCTAGAGTGTGTATAGGGATTGGACATGTAAGGGGGGTACCCCTCTGTCCCACATCTTGCTGGGTATACAGTCCCACGTAACTTGTGACACAAAGTTGTGCGTTCCAAATAAATTAATGCATTGATGGCCATGACTGTGACTTCTGCACATGCTCCACTGCAACATCATCTTCAACTTTGAATCTCAAGTGATAATTGTTCAACTCTGATTTATTCAGGGTGATGTAGAACAGTCACAGTAGCATTCATCAAGACAATTATTTCTTATTGGAAAGGGATCATCGAAGTCAATTTACCTCCTTGACTTCTGTGTCCTCTGAGTGCGAATTATAAGAACATGTCCTGGTTTGACACCTTGGCTCTCCAGGTACTGTGTCAATTCTTCTTCAGTGATTGCAGGATGAAGATTCCCAATATGAACCTTGTAAGGAACTGTATCAACGAAAGTAGAGACAGAAAGCCATGAGATAACCACTAAAAAACCTCTGACTTCAATGCTTTGTTATTTCTGGAAGTTGTTTATCTCTGTTTTTGGAGAACAGCTATAGCCCATAACTTCAGACCATTTCAGTCAGGTTTTGAGTGACAAAGAGTCAAGAATGAGATAAATTTGCATACTATTTACTGACACGGCCCTGGAGCCTATGCATAGATTGCAATATAGTGTAAAATGGTCAAACCAAATCACAGGTTTGATTGTGTATGGGGAATATAAAAAGTGCATGTGGGATGTGACTAGGCCCAGTATCTCCAGAGTTCATCTCTGGACACGTCCACATCCCTCTTTGCTGCTTGTACTGTGCTGAGTGCACAGACGCTGGTGTTTTTTTACACATTTCCGTTGCAACTCGACCATGGCAATATTAGATGACGAGTATTGCAGCATTGGGAGCGGGTACTCTGCTGAGGCATCAGACTCCACTAAACATTTGCTGGTTAGCTGGTTACCAGGAACAGAAGAACTTACTGCAAAACCACGAGTTGGATCATTCAAATCGTCTAAATTTATTGTGAGTAATCTAATTCCTTCATACTCATCCATTGAGAGGACGCATTCTGGTATTATTTGAGAATCTTGCATAACTCAGCTGTATTTACAACCAGGGTATTATCAGTGGGTATCGATGATAACTAATTTGAAATTTCAGATTGCATCTCTGGGGTTTCAGCATTGAAAGGCTCTCTATCTATTCTGAGTGGCTGTCTGAGGTGGATCCAGGAGGTTGTGTCAGTGTTAAGGCCTGATTTCTTGGCTACTTCAAGACCTGGACGAAAAGTGGAATAGGACCCCCCCCATCCCAGCTGGATGATCAAAACCAGAGCTGTATTAAAGAACAATATGGAGCTCTGCAGCCAAGTTCATCCATATCAATTTCAAAAATCAAGTGGTGCACAAGTGTAACCAAGCAAATAAGTGGTGCACAAGTGTGATTTTCACAATCAAGTGGTGCACAAGGGTAACTGTGAAATTTGGTGAAGAAGTGGTGCTCGAGTGTATTTTACAAAGTGGCACACAATTTTAATTTGAAAATAATAAAAATGTAACTCTGCAAAGTGATGCCCTCGTGAAACTTTGCAAATTAACAGTGTATGCATGTCAATTTGGATATACAGCTCACAGTGATTCAAGTAACAACAAAACTTCGGAGTGTTTAATTTATTTTGACGCGAACAATATGAATTAGTTGATTAATGTTTCAAACCACACGAGGGAATAAGTTGTTATTAAAAATTACTTTTTTTAAGTGGCAAGTTGACTTGAAGAGATAAAGTCGAGGCCAAGATGAGAATTATATTTGTCACTGATGTTGTGGAAATTTATTTTTTTTTTAAATAATAATAAATTTTTTAAATCAATAAATGAACTGCACGGAAGTACAGGAAGTTCTTGAAAATACATGCAGTTTCTCTGTCAATTTCTTTGAATTGGCGATATGCTGACACACTGATAATGTACCAAGCCAAAGGTGAGGTCCATGATTTTTCTTTCAGGCCTCTATGAAGTTAATTTATACCACTCTAACACACTTTTATTCCCTTGTTAACATACGTGTAGTTAACAGTATAAACACACCTAAAGCCACACCACATCATGTGTTGACTAGTAGTAATTCACTAGGGACTAGGATTTTGAGGCATCCAACAAACAAAAGAATGCTCCTCAGGTTGTGAGGTAAGCCATACTCACACTTGTCAGGTCTTGGCAGCCGTCTAATAATCTTAAGCTGTGTATCCCAGTCTTTGTTGGATGGAGAGGGCATACTAATGCCATTTAGGGACAACATCTTCTTGGCATCTTCTTCTGTTTTTACAATTACTGTTGCAAAGCTGTAAAAATAACAAAATGTCTACTACTTCGTATCAAATTGAAGAACAAATGACAGTCAAAAGTGGTGCACATTATATCAGCACTTTCACTTGAAATGATAGGGTTATCCTAGCCCCATACTAGCCCCCAGGGGTAGTCCGATAGATTGGCCTAGGGCTTGGGTCAACCATTCAAACCAGATACATGCAACTGTAACAGCAATTACTACATGTGGCATGTTCTGTTGTCATGGTTGTGAGTACGATTTTCGCCAACTTCAAATTATTTATCATCAGTTCTAAGAATGTTTCTTTTATTTACAACAAATTTGTGATGTTTGGTAAAAGTGCACAGAAAATTCAGGAGCCAGGGAAGTCGTTCAGTAAACCAGAATGTTCGGTATAGCAGTGTTCGTTATAGGGATGTTCTTCTGTTTCACTGCATGTACACTGGAACGCCACTAAAACGAACACCACTGCACCCAGCATTCAGAAATACCGAACATCCTACTCGGCTCCCGAATTTGCTGTGCACTTTTACCAAAAAATTACAAATTTATTTTAAACAGAAAATATTTAGAACTGATAATTACTCAAAAAAGCACTCACAATGGAACAACAGCCAACATGAGGTGCGTTCTGAATCATTAGTGGGTAGCGTACATCGCATGTAATGTGTGTGTCTACAGACAGCTACATGTACGTACAGACCAGTTGTCAAGTACGCGTTTGAGTGTATGCTATGCAGTACTCACAACTCTGGTACAGAAAACCTTGCATAATAACTGCTACAAAACTGGGAAATTTGAGCTTGAAAACTGCCAAACAGGAAATAAGTGTGCAGATAGACACTAGCATAGTTACTTGACTCTCATAAATCTTCAATAAATGTCTTGCTACATGTAGTTTCAATCGTTTTCAAAATGCTTGCCTAACACTTCCTCGCTGACTTCTGACATGAGCATACTTCGACATGACTTCCAGTGCTACTGTACATGTACATGTATTTGAATGATTCCCAGCGCAGCCCATTTATCAAAGTGTCATTTTACCGACAGGAACCAACAGTAATCATTCCTGCATGTCACATGTGATTTTTAAGCATTGGCTCAAGGAAAAGTTGCTTTCATTTCATGATTCTACTTCCAGTGACGACTACTCAAAAGGTGAAATGTGAAAGGAGATATAACATATTAAAAGAATGCAGTAATTTTCTTTTTGTTTTTACCTTTTTTGTGTGTACGTTTTGGCCTAAAACATCATACCAAAACATTTTGTGAAGCAGCCTGGCACGTATGAATATTTGCCAGAGTTCAGAACAAGTGCCTGAATCTGTGACTGCAAATTGCTACACATGTACCAAATGGCCACAATACCAAACATTCTGTTAGGACCCCACTGTGTTCCTTATAAAAGCCTTCCACGGTAGGCCTTTAACTTGAGCCTTACTTCAATATTTCCAATAAGCAGGGTGTCATACCCTATTGCAATAAAAATAAAATAATCATGAAACCCTTTTCTCTAGTGTTATCAACATAAATATGGCTGCTGTTAAGTACATGTATGTGTACGTGTACATTTATGATGTACGTTTGTGTACAGATCTCATTTGACTTGACACAGTAAATACCCAACAACCCAGTCAATTTTTTCACAATTATATGCCAATACATGCTTTGTCTACTTACATGCTTGCAACATACGTTCATCTTGACAAGTAAATACATGTACAGACTTTTCATTGGGTCTACTCTATGGTATTGTAATGGACATATATACAATTATCCCAAACCCTTTGCACATGCAATTAACAAGCAGTTCTCCCAGATCATCCACTTGAGTATTTCCCCAAAAGTTGCACAAGGCACACTGGTACATACCAAGGCAAATTCATGAATCTTGCATTAAATAGTGGCTTTATGGTACATACACAGCTTTGGCTGCTTTCAGCTGATTCTTTTTGTACAGTCTCTGCTTTGCTGTCAGTGTAGCGGTGGATGCAGCATTCTGCCCCTTCATTCTTTTGAGAGTGACTTTTGGGTGAATGCCTTCCTCCTCAAGAAAGAATCGGAGCGTCTCATTGGTAACACCAGGTGGTAAGTTTCCACAGTAGAAAAATATGTGATCTGTCTCAGGGAAATTACAAATTTTATCATGAATCATACATCTATGTTAAGAGAATATTAATAGTCTACTGTATGGTGCTTCCTTTCCAAGAATATAAATGTCCCTAATTTTTAGTGCCATCATTGTGGTATTTGAATGTGTCCTTTACAACTATTGAGGGGTTCGTTGTAATAAAGTTTTATCTTCCTCTGATAAAGAGTGATTAAGGATGTTTGTTTATAGGAACACACTGCATTGATGGAGTGAATTGGCTCTTGCCAAGTTTCTATTTCAGCAATGTTGACTCGGTTCGGAAAGTCGACATATCCACTCTTTTTTTCCCACGGAAAAAAAATTCTTGTACATGTAGTAGTGAAGCAGCTTTTAAACCACTTGCTGCTGGGGAACCCCATTTGTACCACCATGGGTTTATGTGCAGCGCCGGGTGCCCGAAATGCGACGAAAGAGCTGGTCCGTGTAACAAAAGACCGAACTCAGAATAAAAGACCTGCTGCTGGGAATTGCCATCACTTTTTTAGCTTGCATTTTTCTAAGGTAATCCGTCACTGTTTTTAAACAGTATACCACTGTTTTGGGCATAGCACAACCGCGGATTAGCACCACGGACAAAAGTGCTCCAGGGCCCCATTGATGAGCAACACAGCACCACTGCATGCTGCATGGCATAACAAGTGGGTATTGAGAGAAACATACCTGATTTGACTGACTTCTTTAATGGGATATCATTCTTCTGTTGAGAAGATTTTCTTTTCCTACTCGAAGACTTCCGTCGAACACCAGCTTGTTCCTCCGAAGTGCATGCATTAGGTTGTTTGCCCTCTATGGTCTTTTCTTCTGCCCAACCGGTTTCCAAGGCAACATCATCCGATTTTTGAACAGGTGTTGGATCTCCTGATATATCCATGATTCTTGAAGTATCATCATGAGTCTTGTTGGACCTAATGTCAGCTTTCTGGTTCTCTTTGACAGTCCTTGTTTTCTTAAGCACAGGTGTTTTGATCTTGTCATGGATAAATTGTTTCTCCATAGATGTAGTGCTTCCAGAAACAATATCATCAGTGTTTCCTAATGCCGCTTTTTTTGCACTCCTGGCCTTGAAGTTAAGACTAACCTCATCACGAGCATCGTGATCACTGTCAACTGCTTCCTGGCTAATGACTACATGTATACCAGATGACTTTTGCTTCTGAGTTTTCTTTTTGCTAGGCATGCTCATCTGTCTGACCAATGATTTAGAATCTGATGGAGCGCTTGGTACACCAGGATTTCCATTCCTGTCTACTGAGTCCGCAACTTTTCTGTTCTCAGATGACTCAGGTGTTTCCTTTAAGGATATTTCATCGAATTTGTTGCCTGGAAGTTGTTTGGGCAATGTGTCCTGCTTTTTTCCTCTTGACTTTCTGTTTCCTGACCTGGTCATTTTGCCAACTGTCCTGCCCCCAGCAAGCACTCTTAAAATTAAAGTAAAACAGACAAAAATTAAATAACAGACAGGTACTCAGCAGCAATATTTGAACACTGACTGTATTAGTAATCACACGAGTGTGAGTGAAACAAAAATATTGTAGTGCATCTGTGTCCCGTATACCACAAGGAATAATGTAGTGTGTCTGTGTCCTGTATACCACAAGGAATAATGTAGTGCGCCTGTGTCCTGTATACCACAAGGAATAATGTAGTGCGTCTGTGTCCCGTATACCACAAGGAATAATGTAGTGTGTCTGTGTCCTGTATACCACAAGGAATAATGTAGAGCGTCTGTGTCCTGTATACCACAAGGAATAATGTAAAGTGTCTGTGTCCCCTATACCACAAGGAATAATGTAGAGCGTCTGTGTCCTGTATACCACAAGGAATAATGTAGAGCGTCTGTGTCCCGTATACCACAAGGAATAATGTAGTGCGTCTGTGTCCTGTATACCACAAGGAATAATGTAGAGCGTCTGTGTCCTGTATACCACAAGGAATAATGTATTGTGTCTGTGTCCTGTATACCACAAGGAATAATGTAGGGTGTCTGTGTCCCGTATACCACGAGGAATAATGTAGAGCATCTGTGTCCCGTATACCACGAGGAATAATGTAGTGCGTCTGTGTCCCGTATACCACAAGGAATAATGTAGTGCGTCTGTGTCCCGTATACCACAAGGAATAATGTAGTGCATCTGTGTCCTGTATACCACAAGGAATAATGTAGTGTGTCTGTGTCCTGTATACCACAAGGAATAATGTAGTGCATCTGTGTCCCGTATGCCACAAGGAATAATGTAGGGTGTCTGTGTCCCCTATACCACAAGGAATAATGTAAAGTGTCTGTGTCCCGTATACCCCAAGGAATAATGTAGTGTGTCTGTGTCCCGTATACCACAAGGAATAATGTAGTGTGTCTGTGTCCCCTATACCACAAGGAATAATGTAAAGTGTCTGTGTCCCGTATACCACAAGGAATAATGTAGTGCGTCTGTGTCCCGTATACCACAAGGAATAATGTAGTGCGTCTGTGTCCCGTATACCACAAGGAATAATGTAGAGCGTCTGTGTCCTGTATACCACAAGGAATAATGTAAAGTGTCTG